TCTGATTTACAAACTAATCCTAACAATGATGCAATGCATGCACAACCCCATCAGGCTGAGGCTCATAACTCAAACACAGTCCGTACACAGTGCTAATTAGTTTGTATTACAGCAGAAATACTCTTAATAAACAGAAATGTGAAACGACGTTTAGATTATGCAATGGCCATGTAAATAATCTTTAGGAGCAGCCCTTTACTGTCCATATCCTGACTGGGCTGATTGCACCAGGACAGAGCATGGTCCTGGGACAGGGGAATCACATCCCTCCTGCTGCTTCCAATGAGTCCCTGCATCACCAGGAATATTTTCACTCACTTTTCTGAGGATACCAGAACAATTCTCTAGGAGTGGACAGAGCAGCAGTTCGAAGAGGGCTCCAGCCTCAAGTATTCTGATGGCAGAGTGTGAGAGTAACAAAAATCACAYGCCAGGCTGAGCTGAGTCCCCCCTCGAGGATTTCGTACCACCCACTGTGCCCAAAGGTGACACAGCAACCCTGATTTGCAAAGCTATTGCAAACAAAAACATAATGCCACAATTTCTGGTTGGATTTAGAAACTCRATTTTGACAAGAAATTGAAAATGTTACATAACCATATAATTATAGGATTATTAGGAGAGAGAGTTTCCTTCAAATAATCCATCCTGGTTAAAAACATCCCAACTGGGTTCAGCATTCTCTTAACCAGTRAAAGCACATAAACAGGGTCTGATTTTGCAGCTTATGGATTTATGAACTTATTTATGCTCTGCTAGAAACTTTAAAGGAGCTGGAAGCAAAAGAATCCATCCTCAATGGTGCAAAGCAAATGGCCACTGGCAGGGTAAGAATGCCAAACAGGGCAAGTTTTGCAAGCYCCCAATATTTACCATCCATCCCAGAGTACTCCATTCTCATGCAAGCATGTCACAATGAGAAAACAACATCTCTATAAGGGTAAAACAAACAGCATTCACAATTTCTGAAAGCATTCTTCCACAATTATTGCACTAGATTAGATTGCCTCATCACCAGGGCCAGAGGCCATTTACACTATTTTCTTTTTTTTTTTTTTTTATGGAACAGATGAAAGGATTACAGAAAGTTTTCTGGGGCCAAATTTGGAGCTAATGATGGGAAAATTCTTTTGCTAATCCCCACTGCTAGCAGACTCCTGAGGCTGGAAAAAAACAATGTCTCCTGGTACCCTGCTTCTATTTTGCTCATCAGGGCAAAACACCCCACTCAGGAGGTCTGCAAAGGCCCATCAGCTTGAAACAGAGCCATAAAATATGCAGGACAGGGCTACAGTGAAAACTGGAGTAAAGAATCATGGGAGATTCCCATTAAAACCTGGATGCTTCACAATGAAAGCCAAGGATGGGGCTGAGCCACACAGCAGCCACCTCCATCCTCACTGGAGCACAGGGAATATGGGCTTTTCCAGGACATTCTGTGCCAAGCAGGCTGCAGGGATCCCACCTGAGCAGGCACACGCAGAACCACAGAATGAACCAGGCTGGAAGAGACCTTCAAGAACATCAAGTCCAGCCTATGGCCCAACACCTCCTCATCAACCAAACCAYGGCACTGAGTGCCACSTCCAGTCTGTGTTCAAACACGTCCAGGGATGGTGACTCCACCACCTCCCTGGGCAGACAATTCCATTGTGCAATCACCCTTTCAGTGAAGAATTATTTTCTAACATCCAACCTAAACTTCCCTTGGCGCAACTTAAGGCTGTGTCCTCTTCTGCTGTCAGTTGCTGCCTGGGTGCTGCTGGCCACACAGGATTCTTGCCYGATRATTTTTGCCTTTTATTTTTATATACCCTTTTATACACCCTTTTAGACATTTCTGTATCCTTTATGCATCTCCCTGCACCCTTTGCCTACATGCTGTAATTCCTGCAGCCTGACATCCCAGATGAGTTTTGGGGTYCTGCTGGGCAGAGAGACCAAACACCCTCAGTGAGGGGTCAGTGAGCCCTGTGCTATCTTAAACCTGAGGCTCCAGCCTTGGTTGAGCCTTCTCTCTGAACACATTGTGTAACCTGGGCTCTGGCCTCATCCTGGGGGCATTCTTTAAAATAGGGGGACATCACTGCATTTGTTAAGTTTCTTATTGGGGAATTCTAGATAGATSTGCTAATTTGTGTAATCTATAAAACTTGTATCCGTGCTATACACGGATGTGCATTTTCTGGCATTTCGTGCATTTTCCATCGAGTTGTGCACCTGATCCCATTAAAATCCAAGGTAAAACCCTTTTATCCCCTTAACCATGTCTGTGTCATAATTAAAACTGSCCAATCAAGGCAACAGAGAGATGGGCAGAAAGGCACAGAGCTAAGGCAGGCTGCTGTCACCTGTGCCACCAGTGCCACCATGGACAGGGACAGCCCTTCCAGGGGCACAGCAGCCACCAAAACCCATTGGGATAAAGCTGCAGCACYGCTCCCCCCTGCCCTGAGCCCACCGGGGCAGGAGGAGCGGGCACCCCACAGCCCCTCCCTTCCASAGGCAAAGTTTAATCATTTCGCAGTCATTTACCAAACACAAAGCAACTCACATGCGGCAGCTCCGGCGGGGAGTAAACTTTGCATAATGAATGCTCCATGCACAGATGCACAGCTACACCCACCGGCACTCGGGGGAAATGCCTGGGAAGGGCAAACATCCCCGGAGAGCCGCAGCTCCACCGGATGGGAAACCGGGGAACAAGGCTGGGAAATCAGCACCCAGCTCCCTAAAGACTGGCTCATTAATGCACATTATCAGCTACGTTTTGTTYTAGCAGCAGCTCCATGCACCTCCTGAGCTGCAGTGGGGCAGGGAGGTGAAGCTTCCCACAGAAAGGGGCGGCTCGGTGGAAAATCTGACTCGAGGAAAAAGCAATGGTGAAGCAGCGCTTAATGAAGATGAACTTCCCCTGGCTGCCCACAGCACAGACGATGCCATTATCACTCAGCATCAGGAAGGAAAGGGATTCCAAGGAAGGGGAAATTACAGGGCAGTTATCCTCATCAACCTGAGCGTGCAGCGGTGACACGAGCTTGGCACGGAGCCTGAGCAAAGTCTGCACATGGTTAAGAACGGGGCATGAAGTAAGATGTGCATGGGGAAAACAGCCCCTGGAAAATATTGCTCAGGAGTTCAGCTTTTCCAGGGTGCCAGTGGCAATAAAATGTCTGACCTTATCCTCCCGCATCCGCAAAAAAATCCCAAAAAAAGGGATTGCATCAAGTCAGCGGAAACAGGGGAGTTCCRCTGGCCTGGCAGGGATGAGGCCAAGTGCTGAGTGATCTGCCCCCACATCTGTAAAGTCAGCCTATTTCCCAACTCTCGGACAGCTTAAACATCTCCTGGTGACACCTCCTCCAGGGTTGGCAGGTCTGTGCTCATGGGAGAGCAGAGCTGGGGCTCTGAGCAGCATCCTCATGATCCCAGGATGTGGCTGCAGGCAGCACGGACAATCCTCACCACTTCCTGCTCCAAGCACTCAGCAAAGTTTCCCTCTTTTGACAAAGAGCTGCCTGGAGCTCAAGGAAGAGCTCCCATGAAAACACAGGAATTTTGCTCAAGGCTTTGTTAACTGTCTGAAAGACAAACAACACCAGCATTAATTTGCATTATTTRTAAAAAGGAGGGTTAARTGCATTCCCATTTCACAGATGTTTYRAGGCCTCGTTGCTAGAGAAAGTCTRGCAAAAATGAAATGGCACAAAACACAGAACCTTCAGGGTCCCAAAAACATAAAGATTTGGGGAACCAGCCCCAGCCCCCAACAGAGAAATGGGACACAGATCGTGTATTTTCCTGAGGAGAAACCAAGGGTTCACAGAGAATCCATAAACATGCTCATGCTTCCCACCTGTTTTCTATTTAGAGAAAAAAAACCAATTAATATGGCTTTTTAAGCAACTATTAATAAAGAAACCTATGAKATGAGATCCCTAATTGAAAATGTCTTTACTCACACGAGGCAGAGGATCAAAATATGACAAGAGCACGAAGCACAATCTCTCCCAGCTGCACAAACTGTTCCTTAACARCCTTAAGATTAATAAACAAAGACATATTCTAGGCATTTCCTATCCCTCYTGGATTTAGCTGTGGCAAACAGAAGAAATCCATCCTCTTGCTCTGCTCTCCTTCCGAGCAGAGCTGCCATGCAGCAGCTCATGGCACTGGCTGGGAATGGGGAACCCCTCACTCTGAGCAGAGATACAAGGGCAGAACACCATTGCAGGAAGGAGCTGATTTCAGGGTTATCATTTATTAGCSAGGAAAAGGACATTTCCCTTCTTGGTGGTGAAGCACAGCCAAGGATGAAGCGTTTGGGTGCAGCATTGTGTGAGGGAGCTGCTGGGAGGGCTCCAGGCTCCCACTGAACCATTCCCAGACTGAAGGAATGGGAGAGTCAGGAGCACGGGAGGATSTGATCTGCTCTCCCAGGACCAGCTCAGGCCCTGTGCACAGTCAGGTGAGCACCAAAGGACAGCAATTCCACCACTGGGACACTCTTGAAAGGACACAGGCACTCTCCTGCTTCAATATTGCCCTGAATCTGATTCATATTCCCTGTCCTAAGCCCTCCCAAGTCCAACCACTTGGAGCAAACAATGCAATGCTTCTCCCTTAATCACTGGCTCAAGATTTCTATTGAGTTCATCAGGAAACACAGAGATGCTCAAGTGCAACCCTGCAATACACAGAAACTGTCATAAAAGGGCAAAGTGCAGAAGATGGAGTAGAAGATTAATTCTGTTCTTTGGGCCAGTAATCAGCAATCTCTCTGCTCAAAAGACAGGCTTGGGGAAACATCCCAAGGGTTACACACTGCACACAGCCCACAGGGAATGGAGTGAAGCTCAATAAAATCAGGTGAGGAATGGGCAGAACCTGCAGTGGTTGCTTGTACATAAAYCTGGAGTGTCAGCTGGCTGCTCTGGGGGAGAGGAGTAAAAACAGAAATCCCAGTCTTACATAAAAGTGAGGCAAAGCCTTGTCCTTACCGTTCTGCTCATCCAGCTCATTCCCAATTTCCTGCCCCATTTGTTTCTGCCGGGATATGATTGAAGAAAGAGCATCGAGTCCAGCATCTTGTTCTGCACCAAAAAAAATATATTAAATTACATTACAAAGTTGCTGGTATGCCAGGCTACATAAAATAGGTAGAAGTGAAGGAAAGTATCTGCTCTGTGCTTAAAGGGGTGAATGGATTAAGAAAAACACACGAACACAACATGGAAATTAATCCTTATGGCAACAGTACTCTTGAAATAATATGASTGATGGGTAAATAATTTCTCTGCTCTGGCTGGGACATTTTGCTGAGGATCCAAAAGAAAAAAAAATCCAAGAATTTAACATTCAGCTRTTACTCAATCATAAATGCAGGGGATTTTCTGGCACACACAGAGAGCTCCTGATTAGCCTTTTTAAATTTTCCAAGCAACTTTTAACAGGAATAAAAGAAAACAGGTGATGCAAACACCAAAGAATTCAAAGAGATTTTTAAAGCTRCAAGAGGATACAGAACGTGGGGGAGAGCTGAAGGAGAGGGGTGGGGGCAGTGGGAGGGTGGTGTGCTCCCAGAGCTCTGCAGAACTCCCGGGTGAAGAATCAATCCCCTGTGCTCTGCAGGCACCAGGGAGCCCCTGAGCCAAAAGGGGTGCCAGGGAGGGGCACAGCAGGAGCTGCACAGGGGCAGTGCCCCAGGGCACAGGGGGCCTGGACCTCCTTCCCTTCCATGGTCCTCCAACAGCTCCTCCAGCCTCAATTTAATTACCTATGGTGCAATTAAAACCACAGTTGAGGTTTCTCCTGGACCATCCAGACAGAGTTCAGCCACACTCCTGAGCTGTACAGATGTTGTTCTCAYGCAGAGTGAAGGAGGTCCTATCTGGAGACCGACTTAATTCCGTCACTTCCAACACTTTAATTGCACGGAAATGACCTCATTAACCACCTGACATCCTTAGGCTGAGGTTTTCCAACACTTCCAAAGCCAGAGATTCCTTACGGGTGCTGAGGGCCAAAACCTGACACCCCTTTTCAGATGAGTTAATTCTTACCTCGTTCCAATTCATCCAGACATTTACTGCACCCAGCAACACCACTACACCCARTGCAGATACTGTACACAACAAAACCATGAATGTGGCCAAAATCAGGTCTTTCACAATTTAATTTAAGAAGACGTACCCAGTTAAGGACATTGCAAGCAAAATGCTGCTCCTGCAAAAAAGGTGTCGTGGTTTGGATGCTGGCCAAAAGCCAGGCACCCACAACACCTACTCACACCACCACTGGGCAGAGGAGAGTGAAGGAAAAAAAATTAAAAAAAGAATTCATGAGTTGAGATAAGGACCAGGGAGGAAAMATTTCAAGAACAAAACATGCTCCACTTAAGTTATGAAGTAAATTAATTACTAACAAAGTCAGAGGAGGAGAATGAGGAGGAAACAGCTGCCTGTTGTGTTTGATATCGATAAATAACAAAACTCCAGTCCAGTTTGGTGTGTTGGTGTTCAAACAAAGGTGCCAGCAATGTTGAGAACAGCCAGAAAGGCTCCTGTACCTTCGATGATCCTGCGCTGCTGCTGCCTGAGCTCATCRAAGCCGAGTCCTCGGGTCTCCTCCGACTCCTCCAGGAGCCAGGGGTTGCTGACGCCGCGTTTGGCCCCTCCTGCCATGAGGCTCGACCTGAAAACAGCTTCTGTGAGAGATTTCCTGCACAAACCCCCCTGGCTGCRGGGTCTGCCCCTGCCACACAGCAACTCACAGGTCTCAGCACCCCGAGAAGCAATCCCAGGAGAAATCAGCCAAAACCAATCCCAGGTCTCCAGTAACAAACCCATCTCACAGGCTGGGAGTAAGGATTTGTTACTGGGGTAAGGAAGGAGAGAATCCATTTTCCAGGGAACAATCAAGATACAGAGTGAAATATGTACCATATATTGTATAATAGATCCAAATCAAATGGTGTTTGCATGTAGAACACATAACATTGCTGGGAATGCACATTATTCCTGCATTTGCTACATGATCAAATCACAGATTTATAAAAATTCTGCTACAGCCTCAAACACCAAAAGGATCCAACTGTTAATAYGGATGTAAATCAGGTGAGGCTCYAATTCCCTGAAATCCTGACCAAACYTAACCAGGAACATTCCTGAATTTCAAGAACTGTAGATGAACACAGCTCCCCTCCCGAATTTCCTGGTCTGCCATCACCCTGAACAAGAAGCCAGGACCCCACACTTTAAAATGAAAGAATAATTAAATAATGGGTTTTCTTTTCAAAGAATTATGACTTGAGATTGTTCACGTTACAAACACTTCCCTGGTGACAATGGAAAACAACTTTTCCATGTCCAGRGCACATAAATCCAAGCAGTAAAATGAAACTCCACTTAAGTATTTTCCTCAAAACCAGATTTCTGGTTTCTGCCTTTCAGCTCTTCCCTGGTTTTTCCTACAAGACAAACCTCAGGACAGACTGAGAGTCCCCTGAACCCAGATGTGCTGCTCAGGTTTGGGGGGAGTAATGGGAAGGTCGGTTCCCACACAGATGTTCACAAGTTTTGCTCTCTGCTTTGCTTTTTTTAAACTCTGTATTTCATTTCCATTTTACCTTTTCCTGCTCTTCCCCAAAGCATTTCCACAAACAATGCRAGAACAGAGAGCGTTTTCAGAATCTCTCAAATTCTCAATGTTTTTTAATTACACCAAGACCTAAATTTGAACGTTGCAGTTGTTTTGGTGTTTTAATTGAGTTTTTAATTGAGTTGTTCCCCAGGAGATGCTGATGCTGCCCAGTGCCCACATCTGCTGGACATCCCTCTGTGGCCACATCAGGAGGTCACTGTGCACAAGGACAGCGGGGCCAGGAGGGGTCAGGGACCGGCTGGCACTCGAGGGTGTCCGGGCACAACCCAGAGCTCGGCCGGAGCTCCTGGAGGAATTCTGGGGAGCTGGGGACATCTCCTGGCCGTGGGATGGAGCAGCACTGCTGGAGAACCACMCACAGGAGAGAGCACCTCAGCTCCTCTGCCTGGACACTGCAGCGTGGGCTCGGGACTGCAGCTCAACGGGAAGGCAGAATGAAAAATAGAAAAAAAAACCAATTTTTTTTCCAAAAGGGGCTGAAAAGCATTTTTTATAAACCACAACATCCCCCTCAACCACCCCAGTGATGCTGAAAGCAGAGCAGAGCCCTGCTGTGCCCTGACCACCTGGGATTCAAGGGCAACAGCAGAGAGGCGCTGGGATTGTCCTGCATCCCAGACCTGAACTCCATCACATTCCCGGGTGTTTATCGAGGCTGGCAATCAAAGACACACACTCCTGGGATGGAGTTTGCCACAGCACCCAGCTCTCCTCCCTGCTCTGGGGGGTTTAAAATGCTCTTTTATTAAATCTTTTTTATTATCAGTCTCCCCACTGGCACCAGCTCTGTGAACATGACAGAAGCATTACACTTCCGAAGATGGAAAATCATTGCACTTCACCCAATTCAGTTTAATTAGAAGGACACAAAATCCAGAGTAACAACATCTGACAACGTTGTTTAACTAAAGCAAAGGGCACGTAAAGCTCTGTGCTTGCCAAAAAGAGCACAGCCATTCCCGCCTGTTAAAAAACAGCCAAGGCAAGCAAATTTGAAATCATTTGCAGCTCTGTGTCCCTCCCTCCCCCAGCGCTCTGCCCCGCTCTCGCAGGCTGGGTCATGACAGTGCTCTGCTGGTCACAACCATTTTTGTGCCATGTTTGGTGACTGCCCCGGCCCTCAGCACGGCACAGCTCCCCCGTGCCCGTGCTGCCGGCCGCGCTGGTGTGAAGATTAAAGCTCATCCAATTAGCCACCCACGGCCTGTGCTGCTAATCACCAAACCTGGGGAGCCGTCACAGGGCACTGGAGAGTGGCCGTGCCTTTTGATTACAGGAGCAGATTTAACTAATTACAGGGCTCAGCAACGCGCCCGGCTCCAAACCACGGCGGCACTGCCTGACAAGGGAGGGCTTATCTCATTGTTCCACTGATAATTCCTACAGCACCTCCCGAGGAACTGAGACTACTCAAGCAGCATTTACTGCAGGCCAAGGCCACACATCAAGGCTTAGGGCTTTAGAAGACTGATCAGCAAGACTGAGCCTTGAACAAAACCTGGGTCATATGACAATGGGGTGGATGATCACTTGAACATTCCCTTAGCTCCAGTGGGGCGCTTTGAAGCACCCAGGGCGCCCCAGCTCGGCCTCACAGGTCACTCTGCTGGGGAAGGACTGGACAGTCTCTCACTCACAGCGCTCACACCGGATTTTTAGGAAGCTCCAAGCTAATAAATTAAACAAATATAATTCAACATATGAAAGAAAAGCTCTCTCTACCCCTCCAAACACCTATGAGAGGCCAGAAGAACACAAGCACTTCCAAAGCCTCTCCAGGCACCATCCCAGGTGGAGATTTCTATACCAGCTCCTGATGGGAAGCCTGCAGCATTCCTTGCAGCTGGCAGAACACTTCCAGCCCCACCAGCACAGGAACTGCTGCTCCCATGTTCCAGGACATTCTGTGCTGTTCACATCACCATTTACCTATGGCTGGGTCACTGGTCACACAGCTTCCAGAGCTGGGAGCTGCCCGTGCTGGCTGCCTCAGGCACCCCAGACAGGTGACAGCAGCACAGCCACCCTGCAGCACCTCCAGGGCTATCAGCCCTGTCCCAGCACCAGCCTGGGCACCCTGCAGCACCTCCAGGGCCACCAGCCCTGTCCCAGCACCAGCCCAGGCACCCTGCAGCACCTCCAGGGCCACCAGCCCTGTCACAGCACCAGCCTGGGCACCCTGCAGCACCTCCAGGGCCACCAGCCCTGTCCCAGCACCAGCCCGGGCACAGGGCCAGGAATCACAGCTGCACTACAAGGGGCTGGGTGGGATTGGCATGAACACACAGAGGAGGTGTCACCAACCAGGGTGAGTGTCCCCTGTCAGGGAAGGCCACCACTCCAGGGTGAGTGAGTGCTCCCTGTCAAGTGAAGGCCACCACTCCAGGGTGAGTGTCCCCAGCCAGGGCAGGTCACCTTCCCAGCCGGGGTTGCACCACATTTCATTTCCAAGCACTCTGATTTTCCCATGCCAACCCCACACACCTCAATAACCCTTTCCTGACAGCAGCCCAGCTATCAAATACCACAGTTTCCTTTCCACACCGGCCCTTATTGCCCATGGCAGACCAGACACAGCAATATATAAATAGACAGTAACCCAGCTCAGGCAGCCCTGGGTGGAACAGCCTCCCTGCACAGCCCCGCTGCACCCTCAGCAATGGCAGCTCCAGGAAACGAGGGCTCTTTCCAGACAGAAACTGCACCTTGTGTTATCCCACCCAGAGGGACAAATCTCCTCCTGCGACCCCAGTCCAGGGCTCAAAGTGCTCCCAAACCCCTCCCATCCCATCCCAGCCCATCCCCAGGCTCCAGGCAGGTTCCCCATGGAATCTGAGCTGCAGCAGGGCCAGGGGGACCCGGGCACACGGCTGGGGAGGGACAGCTCGGGCAGGAACCCCGGAGCTCTGAGCAAACCCCGAGGAGCTCAGCCCTGGAGCTGCCCCGTGCTGACCCTGACCTGGGCTGGGCTGAGCCCCAGAGCAGCCCCTGGGCTCAGCCTGGGGCACAACTCC